GGTATTAGTAGATTTTTCTAAGGCATTTGATACTATAAATCATAAGCTTCTTTTATCAATACTGAATCATTACGGTTTCGATGTGTCTGCGGTACAACTTATTACCTCTTACCTTGAAAGTAGGCAGCATTGTGTGCTTATGGATAACATTAAATCTTCTTTACTTGATGTACATAGTGGAGTCCCACAAGGCTCCATTTTGGGGCCACTTTTATATGTCATATATTCAAATAATATCTGCAGGGACTTTAAAAGCTGTAAATTTCATCAGTATGCTGATGATACACAGGTATATTGTTCATTCCCACCGTCTGATACATCTGATGCAATAAAATTAATAAATAAAGAACTTGAAGTGCTTGTCCGAACTGCTACAAACCATAATTTATTTATTAATGCAAAAAAGTCCACTGTGCTGCTTTTTGGACGAGATAAAGCTAGAATCCAGAACTTGGATCTCATTAGGATTAAAGTGCAAGGATCGGTATTGAAAGTGTCGCACGATGCAAGAAATCTTGGAGTTTTAATGGACTCTAACTTTAAGTATGTTAGCCATATTAATAATTGTTTGCGCAAGGCATATTCTACTCTAAAGCGTTTGTATCCGAATAGACATCTTTTATCTACTAAAACCAAAATAACCCTAACAGATACCCTTGTTTTGTCACATTTTAATTATTGTGATGTTTTGTTTCATGCATGCATCGACACAGCTACTGCCACCCGTATACAAAGAGTGCAGAATTCTTGTTTGAGATTTATTTATGGCATTGGGCGCAGAGATCACATTTCACATAAGATGATCGAGGTGGGATGGCTTAATATGTCTCAGCGTAGAATGTTGCATTCTCTAGTTCTTTACCATAAGGTTATTATCACCCAAACACCAAGTTACCTAGCTGATCGTTTAGAATATAGAACTAGCTTACATAATCTAAATTTGCGCCATAGAGGTCTACTAAATATCCCTTTCCATCACACTGCTTACTTTGAAAAATCGTTCACATACAATATATGTAAGCTGTATAACATGATTCCGTCCCCTCTTAAAAATCTTCAACCTCTTGGCTTCAAAAATAAAATCAGACAATATCTGAAACTGGAGCTACCTAAATGAACTGGTGTGTCTTAAGATTTTAGTACTTTTACTTGTATTTTTATTTTTGTTTGCTTTCCTCTCTTTGTATTCAAGTATTAATTTGTTCCTGAGTGCTAGCGTAATTTACAATTTATATTTTCTTTTCCTATAACGAGTTGGGGTTACATGGAAGAACAGGGTTGTCAAAACACTGAATGTAGTCCCATTTCCCGTATACATTATGTGTTACTCATATATATTATATATTTTATACTTATTTGGTTTTGGTATTACGTGGAAATAAATGTCATTATTATTATTATTATTATTATTAATATATATATATATATATATATATATATATATCTCGGGCGACCTAGCATATCTCCTATCCGATTTTTTGCGAAAATGAGATTATTATTTCATTTGTATTTTGGTATTATTCAGCAAAAGCTCCTAAGCCAAGAAAAATTATTTATGTTTTAAAAATGCCGCTGAAATTTCTCCTACTAGACACCGCTTGATATTGGTACGGCAACTTGTCCTGTAAGTATTATTTGTTTTACATTCTTGGTAGGTAGATACGAGTATTTATGCCTTTTTGTGTATAAAGTATTTAGTATTGTCTAATTCCATTATTTTTCAATTACTTTCAGATAGGATATTTTGCAGTCTAATATTCCCGGGATAGGAGATATTGCACCATGCTGTCCCGGAGAAGAAAAATTGTTTCAATGCTCCAAACCCGGAATAACAATTGGGATTTGTTTGATCTGGATAATGTACCTCTGGTATTTGAAGATGGCATAATGGTAAATGTAACTGATCCCCACGCGCATTGAATAATGCTCTAGCAGATGATTATGACTTTTTGTTACTGCAAACATATCCAAAGTTCCAACTAAAGTCCGAACCAAAGAAGAATCTAGAAGGAGTGATACTTTTGAGTATTTTTTAAGTGATGGTAACCAGAAATTGCAGGTATACCGAAAAATGTTTGTTAGTACTTTAGATGTACGTTATACATAGTAACTGTACAAGATTGGGTCAATAGTAGCTCTATGGTATATTATCAAACAGTACAAACAAATTAAACATGCGCGAATCTGTTGTATCTCGTCATAATAACGAACATACGATTTCTAAATACGTTTTTTGACAATTTACCCAAGCTTCCTACTCACTACTATCGACGGAACTCAAATAAATTATACCTTGAAAATTATTTTTGATGATGGATTTATACAGGGTGTACCTCGGGGTGTACAAAACTGAATAATATACGATTTATTGCCCAACATAATAAAATTCCAATTATAGGACAATTATTAATAATCTAAGAAAGCACAATAACTAAATATAGGTACTAATACCTTAACCGCTAACATACTAAAAACCAAATTAAATGATATTAAACTTAAACAAGATTAAAAATAAGATCACAGTTCTATCACAGTTACAAGATAGCGGTAGTTGTTGCAGGCAGGTAGAGGGCCTACTATGTCAATGTTCAACTGTCCAAAACGTCTTGTTGGTACTGGTATGTTTGTAGTTGTAGTAACAGTGTGTTTCGAAACCTTTGATCTCTGACATGGTACACAGCTTTTCGACCATAGGGAACAATCTGCCTTGAGTGATTTCCATATGTATCGTCGGCGGACCAAATCAACAGAACCACGTCTACCAGGATGGGACAAGTTGTGGAGTGACAGGAATAACTGATGACGGTATTGTGGAGGTACATATGGGCGGTTTACCCCAGTTGAGTTGTCACATAAGAGGTTGGAGCCATCCGGTAATAAGATTTCTGTCCAGCTCAACCCTGGAGATGATTCTTTTTCGTCTGCCAATATACGATCGGCAGCTTGTGCGTTTGCAAGCAACTCAGCGGTGAGTTGGATTGGTTGTCCATCAACTTGGTTGATACGGGAACAAGCATCAGCAACGATGTTGTCAGTTCCGGGAACATAAGGGAAATCTGTTGTGTACTGACCAATGAAGTCTAATTGGCGTCGTTGTCGTTCATTAGCTTTATCCAAGCGCCGTTGGAAAGCGTAGATGAGTGGGCGGTGATCGGTATATAATACAAACTCTCGACCTTCCAGGGAGTAACGGAAATGTTTAATTGCCAAGCCAGCATGAAGCTAAGTGCCCCATGATCTACACCGCCACCACAGTTCATCTGCTGTGTCAGTTTCCACGCATATTGGACATATGTCCTTTACCTTACCTCCTCCTTGTTGCCTTTTCGGCGCGGACTTCTTTTCTAATGGTGTTTTAGCTGCTGTTGTTTTGAGTCCTACGGATTTTCCCCTTTAAAATAAATTTCTTGTAGCTTCGTCAACTTTCTTCTTTTCCCTATTTATTTCATTCTCCTCCAAAGATGCCTGCAGCGGAGTGGAAGTTAGTATTTGAGATTTTTGTTTTCTTCTCTTAGAGTGTGGTTTTTCTGTTAATCGGGGTGTCGGTTGAAAGTTTTCAAAGGATCTGCTCTTTAACTGAATGGTCTTATCTTTATCATTGGTTGCGTTATCGTCGGAGACTTCTGTTATTGCTGATGAAAAACTATCACTGGAAGATGTTCTTCTTTGGCGCCTTTTTCTCGTTGAATGAGCAAGTGGCTTCTTGTTAAAGGTTTTTACTGGCGACGCCGCCGGTGACTTGACGCACATCTACTTCATCATGGCTTCCGCTTGATACATACGACGGATCTGGATCTCCACTAGTTCCGGGCCTTGGATCTAAAGAAACTGTTTCTTGGGGAGGCTCGCATAGTTCGTTGGTTTCTGCCCGAATAACGGAATTTGGTTCTTCTGGAATTTCAATAAACTCTTCTTCCCCAAACACGTTTCTGTCTAACGGAAAGATGCCCGTATTTTTAAATCCGTTCACGCCTTTTTCTTTGGAAGTGATGCGATTGTACGCCTTAGCTCTGCGATGTCAGTCACCTCAATTTTGTTGTATTCTAAATCAACTAAAACACGATTTTCCGTAGAAGCATTTACACATTGAGCAAAATGCTTTAACCACTCCACGAATAGCTCTTCTGTTATCCACCCTGATTTCGAGGAGCGGTAGATTGCATCTGTTGGTCCATTCTTTTCCAGCGCATTGTTCATGGGCTCGCGTTTAAAAATAAACATAGGAGGCACGAAATCTTCGGCTGCACTCATGCAACACACAACAGTGGTAGTCTGATTTCTTTCACCACTAGTTATCGCGCCCACTTGTTTTCTTCCCTTTTCCGCCAAAATTCGATGAGGTTTATGAACTCCACTAATTCCAGTCTCATCCACGTCAAAAATGCGCCTTGCGAGAAATTTATATTTTTCGAAGGCTAGTTCCAGATTATCGTAAAATAGATTCACATTCTTTCGATTAGATGCCATTACCCGGTTGAGACTCGTAGCTTCAGGTCGTCTTAAAGAAATTCGTGGATTTGGGAATTCAAGCATTCAAGCATGGACGGAAAGCATATTTTAACCGTCTATATATATATATAATACTATTATATAATATATATATAAAAAGATACCAGGTGCATCCGCTCCGGAGGTGATAAAATACTTTATACGTGTGTGTATGTATGTATATGTATGTATGTATGTTAGTTGTATAATATATAATATATATAACCCAGATAGCACAGTTCGTTTTATGTACGTCCGTTATTAAGCTGTTATTAGTACATACGTCCTTGGACTAAATATGTACTTCCATCATACGTACAGCAGCACACGTTCCATGTACGTAAGGTACACGTATGTACCGTGTACGTCCATTTATGAGTTATTGTTGTTGCGTAAGACTTATTACCAAATTTGTACATCCATCGTACGTACGTGTTAAGACGTCCTATGTTGCTACAACACCGTTTGTTCAGTGTACGCCATATCTTCGGTTTGTGTTACTATTCGCGTTTACAGTTTACACTGTTGGTAGCGGCGGCTAATTTTTTCGTAGTTGGTAGAACTCGACACTCGTCCCGTTACGTGTTTTACAGGTTCCATTTGTTTAATGCTTTGTTTTGTTGTAGTGTAGTTATTTTATGGATTACACTTTTACAGGTAAACAAATAATAATTGCAAGTAGTTAAAATGAGGAATGAATTTAAATAATTTGTTGTAGGCGTTGTATGAAGTATTTTCGCGGTTTATTTTGTACGTAACCTCAAATTTGTTGGCGGTAATTTTCAGGATTACAACACTTGTACAGGTAAATAAATAATAATTGCAAGTAGTTAAAATGAGGAATTAATTTAAATAATTTGTTGCAGGCGCTGTATGAAGTATTTTTGCGGTGTATTTTGTACGTAACCTCAAATTTGTTGGCGGTAAGTGCATAAGTACGATTTCTTTTTATAATGGCTTCTAAAAGAAAGAGAAATTCTGTTTGTGCATCTCGGAGCCAGTATCGAATTGCGAGAACACGAACCGATCTGGCCGACGAAATGATTTCTTATGATGTCCCGCAAGTGGCTGATAATATACCCAATTCCGATCTTGATGTACCCAATTCGTTAGCTATTATTGATGATATTAGCAATGTAGAACCCTTACATTCTGTAGTTGATGACAGTATTGACGTGGAAGTGCATAGTGATGAATTTTCGTTATTTAGTTCCGATACTGAATCTAATAATAACGTTCGTGATTCGTCTCCAGAGTCATCCACGTTTAATTTCCCTACCACTACTAATGATCATGCCAGTGAAAATTTTCAGTCTCATTTAGCTTGCTGGGCCATTAAATTTAATATACCTCATGTCGCATTAAATGCATTACTTCTATTGCTAAAAATGTTTTTTGATGCTACACTCCCAAGCAATGCACGAACATTACTTGACACACCTCGACAGTTGCATATCAAAACAATTGAACCAGGTCAGTACTTCCACATTGGAATTATTAAAGCAGTTACAAAATTGTTGGCTAAGAATAATTTAGCCCATTTAACACCTGCCAGTGGAATTAAGATATGTGTTAATATCGATGGTCTGCCTATTGAAAAAAGTAGCAGCAATCAGCTCTGGCTAATTTTGTGTAATTTACAAGGTAATGTTAACAATGTCGAATTAATTGGTGTTTATCAAGGTTTTGACAAACCTAAAGAACCAAATATATTTTTAAATGATTTTGTTCAAGAAGCAATTTTCTTAACAAACAACGGCTTTACTTTTAATGGTAAAATATTTCCATTTGAAATAGCAGCATTTGTTTGTGACGCTCCAGCAAAGGCGTTTATAAAAAAGACGAAAGGTCACGCTGGTTACAGTTCCTGTACAAAATGTTACACAGTAGGTAATTTTGTAGAAAATCGTGTGTGTTTTCCCCAAATAGCAAACCTTAAACATCGAACAAACCAAGAATTCCGAAACAAGGTAGATGAAGATCATCACACTGGAACTACAATACTAGAATCTATTCCTGGTCTTAATATGATAGCTGCTTTTCCATTGGATTATATGCACCTCATTTGTTTAGGTGTGATGAGAAAGCTTTTGTTAATGTGGGTTACTGGAAAACCACCGACAAAATTGCAGCACATAAAAGTTCAAAATATATCACAAGCATTAATTAAACAAAGACCATTTTCACCTTGTGAATTTGCTCGTAAACCGCGATCTTTATCTGAAGTAAATCGATTTAAAGCAACAGAATATCGGCAGTTTTTATTATATACAGGCCCAGTTATTCTGCGTTCAATATTATCGCTAGATATGTACACAAATTTTTTAAGCCTGCATATAGGGTAAAGAGGACAGTTATCGGCACTCTGCCAGTTATTGGCACAACGTTGTCAATATTAATTTTAATAAGCGTTAGGACGTCTGCGAACTGATTTATTTTGAATTATACCAATGTTGGCACCTTCGTCTAGACACAGTAGAAATTTTAGCCTCGTATGTTGGTAGTAGAAAAAATGGCGCAAAGTTGAATGCAGTGAGTTCGAAGTGATTACGTCTAAGAGGTGAGTTTTTCTTATATTCATAAGAAGCACGGCGCATGTGAATTGCTTTTACGTAATGTAAACCTTATTGCCATCCCAAATTTATTTTACCAATTAAGAAAGCTTGATTATTTGGACCTATTTTCCTACTTAACCTCAAAAAATGATCTTTATTTAATATAATAATAGGGTGCCAACTACTGTCTTAAATTGTACTGTAAAAACAGTTATTGGCACAGGGGTGCCAATCACTGAAATCGTCCCATGGATTAAAAGTCAACGTTTTTCGGTTTAGCTCTGATAAAAATTGATTCAACAGCATTAAAATAGGTCACATTTTGTTATATTTTTAGTATAAATAGTAACTGGCACAGTGCCAATAACTGTGGTTTGTAGTGCCAATCACTGTACTTCGCCTGTGGTCGGAGCCTTTTAGAAACATTCTTTTTCAGCGAAAATGCCGAAACCACAACTTGATGCAAAGTACTCAAAAAAATACAACAATGAAGATTTAGACAAAGCTATTGTAGCTATAAAAAATGGTATGCCTAAAAAAACAGCAGCACGGGAATTTGGGGTTCCAAGATCTACCTTGCAGTTCAGATTAAGCAGTAATTTTACACGGACGCAACATGGTCCCCCTCCAGTATTAACCAACGAGGAAGAAGAACTGCTAGTTAAGTGGTGCCTAGATTCGCACAAGAAGGGATTCCCCCAGAGAAAAGAAAATATGCAATCAAGTGTCCAACATTTTTTAGAAAGTCACCCACGACCCAATCCTTTTAAAAACAATTGTCCAGGTGATGGGTGGTATAAAAGCTTTTTGAAACGTCACCCTACATTAACCCAAAGACAAGCGGAACCAGTAACAGCAGCAAGTTCTGCGGTAAGTGAAGCTGATATACGTAAATGGTTTCAAAATATCCAAGACTACCTGACAGAAAAAGGCCTAATGGGGGTTTTGCAATATGCAGATAGAGTGTACAATTCTGATGAAACGAATTTTCAATTATGTCCAAAAACTAAAAACGTACTCGCACCAAAAGGAGCACGTAATGTTTATGAAGTAGATAGAGGTCAAGCAAAAGCTAATCTAACCGTTTTGTTCACATTTTCGGCATCTGGGGTAACTACTCCTCCAATGATAATTTACCCGTACAAGAGATTGCCTGCTGAAATTGTACAATCAGTTCCCAGCGAGTGGGGGATTGGGATAAGCGAAAATGGCTGGATGAAAACCGAACTCTTCTACGAGTATGTAGCTAACGTGTTTCATCCATACTTGGTTAAACATAAAATAAAATTTCCAATTATATTGTTCGTAGATGGACACAGCACCCATTTGAATTTTAAATTAAGTGAACTGTGTACCAAACTAGAAATTGTCCTCATTTGTTTGTACCAAAACTCAACCCGTATTCTCCAACCAGCAGATGTGGCAGCTTTTAAACCTCTGAAAAGTTATTGGAAGAAAGGGGTCCTTGAATGGAGACAACAAAACCCTACGATTGGGCTTACAAAAGAAAAGTTTGCTCCCATATTAAATAAGGTAATAGCTCAACTTAATCCAGAAACGATTAGAAATGGATTTCGTGCATGTGGACTGCATCCATGGAACGCAAACGCTTTAGATTATTCAAAATGCCTCGGAAAAAGCAACAATCAGGCTACCCGAAACGATCAAACTTTAACTTATTCTAAATTTGTTGACATTGTGGGAAAGGATAAAATACATCATATGCAAAATTTTAATAGAGATAACAATCCCGACGCAACTTCAGACTTTCTCCTTCTGCTTCAGATTTATCAGGCATTCCAAAAGAATGAAGCACCAACTCCCGAGTCAATACCCATTGGGAACCCTACAGACGATACTTTTATTCACAACCAATATCAAACAGATGACACTAATACGCAAGATTGTCAAAAGGTACAGTCGCAATCAAACGAAAATTCCACATTACCCGAACAGCGCATTGATGAACCTGTTGGAATTATAGAAGATATTGCTCAGCAGGGCCCACAAGACGTTCTTATTGCAGTAGAGAACCAGCCAGATGTGATAGATTGCGACATTTCGGAGATGGACATTTTACTTCAAAATGAAAACAACGTAGAAATTGTTTTTCAGGATATGCTAGATACCAGTCCAGAAAAAGAAAATTTACTGAACTATTTACATTTCCCACTAACACCAGCAAGAAAAGGGAAAAAAGATTCTGAGAGAGCGCCTTTTGTTGTGACATCGTCTGGATGGAAACGGATGCATAAAGACAAATTGGATAAAAAACAAAAAGAAGAACAAGAAAAAAATGAACGGAAGAGAAAGAGATTGGAGGCTAAAGAAGCCAAGGAAGCAATGCAAACTAAAAGCGTCAAGAGAGGTAAAAAAACACAAATGCTCAATGCGAATAAGAGATCAAATCAAAATATAAACTCCCGCAGTTCAAATAAAAACAAAGATCCTACACCTTTGGAACTTTGTAAGAAGCAACTATTCCATGGCAATGAAAAGATTTCTTCAATCCCAAAGACCAATGTTTGCGAAATCCCGGGTGCAACACGACCTTGCCATTCTACACAAGATATTACTGTGAAAGATAGGATTAACATCATTTCATCAATTACAATTAAACACGCAGGTGATCAAAGTCTTGAAACTAATGAAAATTTTTCTACAGCGAACGAACACAACGAAACTATACATGAAAATAATGAAGCAACTGAACATTTATTTAAAAACAATGTTACTATTACCTCGGGATTGTGTTTTATATGCGTACAAAACATGAGGCCGAACAATGAAGGAATAAAGTGTTATCACTGTCAAAGACATTATCATAAGAAATGCATTCAAAAAAAATTTCCTATTTTACCAGATGTATTTAAATGCAATACGTGCATAAAAAAATATTGTCAATAAGCGTAATCGCTACCAAAAATCAGACGTATGATCAACAAAATTTGGATTCAGGGAAGGCCGTGGAAGTTTTAGGTCACGTCTATTATATTATCCTGCTCTTTCAGGGCCTACCCTGACAAAATTTTGTTGATCATACTTTACAACAACACTTTTACTATGAAATGTGCCCACTGCCAATCACTATCACACCAAGGTGTCAATGACTGTCAACGCTGTGCCAATAACTGGAATTAATGCACTTGAATATTCTTTTTTTTTATTACACATGTATTATTAGATATATCAGTTAATGTAAATTTGTTCTCTAAAATATACACATTAAACAACTCGGAAATAATTAGCTGAATGAATTGGTCATATAGAACGTCCTTTATTACTAAAAAAAGAGACAGTGCCTCCTTAAAGTGCCAATAACTGTACTCTTTACCCT